CACGCCAGAGCTCCGCCCAATTGAGAAATACTGGGCTATTGTCAAGCGGAACCTAAAGAAGACCAAAAAAACTGCTAAGGGCGAGCAGGAGTTCAAGGCAAACTGGCTTTCTGCGGCGAAGAAGGTGGATAAGGTGGCTGTACAAAATCTGATGGCAGGGGTCAAGCGTAAGGCCCGGCAATTCGGATTTGGAAAAGCGGAAGCCTAACTGAATATTTTTCCTGAATTTTATACTAATTGAACTTGAAAAAGAAATTTAATTTGATTTTTTAAATAAACGATTTCACCGATTTACACGCGTTTTCCCTTGACCAAATTTTGACCGTATCACCCTTTAAGGTTCATAAAAATTCCTGAAGTTTGTGGATCTCCCCTTAAGCTACATAGACTTCTATGAAGTTTTCAGTATTTTTTAAAAATTCAAAACTTTACTGAAATTAATTGATTTTCCTTGCAGTTTCGACAAATTTCCTTAAGTATTATAAGCATTATTAAAGCTCACTAATTTTCCCTGAACATATCTATGCCTATCTGAAGTTCGCTAAATTTGTTTAATAATCTGGCAAATTTTCTGTTGCATATTTATAATTTCCTGACGCTTCTGACGTTTTCGGATCAATCATAGAATTCTTGGAATACCCCATAATTCCACGGAACTCCTTGCAAGATGCTGAAAATTTGCTGAAGTTAATGGGATTATTTTGAAGCTATCTGATTGTCCTCAAAATACTGCTGAATATCATGAAACCACAGGCAAACAGACATAACAATCGCAAGTTATTCATCGAACAAACATTTAAAGGACACTTTAAAAGTATCGCAGTTGGTAGTACCGCCACCTGTGGCGCGCATAGTCAATTCCGTTGCGTTTGACGTTTACACACTACCGCCATCTGTACAGTGTAGTGCCCTCCACAGTGTGCTCAACATATGGCGGCGAGGGGCACGCAATACAAAGAACCAGTGTGTTGAAGTTAAAATGCAATCAAAAGTAATTAAAGTAATTAATGCGTTTTGAAGTAGTACTAATAACTGATTGCTAAAAGTTCTTGCATTTTTTTAATTAATGGAACTTCGTTGATTTTCTCTAGTCAACTTAGCTAAATTTTCGCATTTTTTTATGTTCTTGGAATCTCCATGATATAACACCCTTAAAATACTCTTACATTTTCCGGATGTTCATATTATTTTTATCACGTTCCAAAAATTCTCTCAGAGCTTTGCTGAAGTTTCCGGAAATTTCCTGAGTTTCTTGAAACTTCTTTAAGGTTTCTACGATTCCCTTGAAATTATTTGAACTGCTCTTTGATTCTCTGATCTGTCTTGATGTCTTCGAAGCTTCCCTAAAGCTCTCAATTCTATTGAAGTTCTCGGTTCTGCTCGAAAATAAATGGAATTCCCGTAAACACCATTAAATGTCCCTGAAATTCTCTGGACTTCTGTGGAGTTCCTGAAATATTACTGAAGTTTTCATAAATTCTTTGGAGGTCTCTATACTTCCCTGAAATTCTCGGAACATATTAAGGGTTCTTATTTTTTCATGGAATTATCCTGAATTTATCTAACGATTATAGATTTTTAAACTGCCCCAAAAGTCTGGATTAACGTTACGGGAACTAGTCTCAAGATCTGAAACTCCTTAAAGATCTCTAGATCTAGCTTTTCTGAGATGCTTAGACCTACTCAAAAATTTACACAATACCCCTCAAGTTTTCTTCTGACACATTTGAAGTTCTTTGAAATTCTAGGAACTTCATAAAGGTTCCTTAAAATTGATGCTAAAAGAAAAAAAGAACCGCTTTGAGGTTCTTAAATCTTCCAGTAAGTTCCCCATATTTTCAGCGTGTTAACTTCCCTTATGTTCCCGCAGTTTGTCTATGGAGCTTCACTGAAATTCTCAGATATTCTCCAAAGTTGTTGTGAAGTTATTGGGACTGCAATGAAGATCTTTAATCTTTCATCTAGGGGCATGCAATAACCTTTAACTCCAATGCAGGCAACGGCTGTAATTTAATTAATTACATTAGCTACTTTTTAACTCCATTAATTACAGTTGAAATTTCGTAATTAAAGTACATTAATTACATTTTCAATAATTTTAATTACATTAAGAGGGGAAGTACAATTAGAAGGGTTAAAATGAGGCCTATCTTTGAGAGTGGATTGCGAGTAGGGAAATAAATGAATGTTAGCGATTCTTTATGTATGTTCTTAAGGATTTAATGAAGATTAATTATCAGTGACATTTTTTTTAAATTTTGCAATTTAGCCCAATTATTATAAATAATGTGAAGTCAATTTTTTAAAGCAGCGCTTCGCGCCGTGCAGTCCCTACGTCCATGATCACGTCTGAAACAAAAAAAACAGGACATTAAATTTGAAGGTATACAGCGCACAACATGAATTAATTCGTATGTAAAAATAATGTTTTTTTCACAAAAAAATTTGAAGTTTGAAAAAAAAAATTTAAAAAACCCTATTTTTTTCGACTTTGTTTATAAAAAAAACATGTTATAACAAACAAATCTAAAAAATCTTTCTATTCATGTTGTGGAGAATTTAATTATGAACATAAAACAGAAAACCGGAATCGGTTTTAATGAAAACTCTGACCTGTACATTGCACGGCGATTTTGAAAACACTACTTTTCAGTAGAAGCATTTAAAGTTCAACTTTGACATGTTCAGCCATTTGACATGCACTCACTGAATTGCGTATAACTTTTTAAATAAGTTCCGGACGGCTTTATGCTTTTAAAGGCTCATTCCCAGATACATATAGAGTAAATTAAGCCAACAAAAATTTTCTCGAAAAAAAAATTCTAATTGTACTTCCCCCCTTAATTACGGATAGATAATTTTAATTACCGTCAGTACTACTTCAAAACGCATTAACTACTTAAACTCGTCTTTCATAAAGTTAATTACGAGCTTGAAATAAATCATTTATTTTTTTTTCCTTGATTCTGCAACATTGTGTATTTTCAATATCTTTAACTTGTACATGGAATACGAAACTTCAAGCATTGCATATTTTTAGATGTTAGACTTACTCAAATTATGTAAATTTTTCAGTGATCTACCAAAAAAGCATATTTTTAAAGCGTTTAAAAAATGGCTTTCTTATTATAAGCCTGGAATTATCCCTTCAGGTTCTGGAAACACCTGGAAAATTCAGGTAGTTTTATTTCAAAAAATGAGTTGAAACCCTGTAGATAGAGAAAGACGATTAAACGGCACAAAGCAAAGAATGATCAATCTTGAAATAGATTCACGCTCAAAAAAGCTGAAAATAGTGACTGATTAAAAAAAGTTACTTATGTGACTTGGCCTTAAAAAAGGAGACTTTTTAGTGACTAGTTTGAAAATTCCTTAATCCTTCGGGTTGTTTTGCAAGCCGCGAAGTGATTTTTTTGGTTCAAATGAGAAGCGATGGTTGAACTACAGTTAGTGCTGATTGGCAAACGCGGTAAAAGAAAACAGAAGAGAACGAAGATCCGAAGATCCGCGTACGAAGTTCGTTGCGAGTTGTGTGATGAAGACGAAGCGTCTGGCGGAGGACAACAGACAGCAGCTAAAGGGCTATTGAAGAACATGGTGGAATAGAGAAGTCCAGGAAAAACCACAGTCAAGAAGGCCAGTTTTGGTGAGATCATTCCATTTTTATCTATAAATTTGGGATTTGAAGAACATTGTAGGCATTTTATGAGATCCTTCAATTATACTCTATTATATAAACCATTCATTACATCACATTTGATTGTTAAACTCACTCTTACATAACTCGGAGCGTTTGGTACGGTATGTCCACGCATCCTTCCACCCCTGTAGATTCACGAAACGCATCGCTGTTTAAATATATTTATTTAAATTCGAATAATTTCACAGAATCATCTTTGCGGCAAATGCAACGTAGTAGACCCGGCCGTTTTGATATTTGTGTCAGATCTCAGATATGCTGCAAACATCAATGTTGACAAGAAAAATGATTGGGCGTTATCTAACCTAATCATTTTCCAGGATGCTTTCTCGTACTGGCTGCGTTTGTATTAGATTAGATTATATTATAACACCATTCAGCTTTTGCTGAGACTTGAGTGTTCGGTTGAACAACATCGTCAAACAATGCCATCCGTCAGAATTACTAAGGCTCTGAACCATTTGGCGATTTTTTTTAACTCTTGGTTAAAATTTGACAGATGGAAAGTTATCGATTAACCCTGCTATCCGAGCATGGTTATTTCTGACAGACAAGAAGTTAACTTTTGACGACCGTTGCTCGAAAACCGGTCGATCGACAGCACGGGGATTTTCGAACATAAGAAATAACTTTCGAAATGTCATTTTTAACCACGAGTTAAATTTAACTCGGCAAATGGTTCACAGCCTAAGTAGCATAAAACAGAATTTAGAACACTGGTGCTAGGGCTCGCTTTGAACCTGATACAAACATTTGAAATGCCCTAATGTCTCAACGCTGGGAATTGTATCTTCATTTCTCAGCTACGATTATGGCTTCTTGAACTGCGTAGCACCTTTTCTCCGTCAGCAGAAGCTCCTTGTGCAGCAGTAGATTTTGGACACCACAAATGGGTTCAGGGATGGTTTCTAAACTACGTTTCGTGTTCTGGCACCTGACCGAAGTTTATTTCACTGTACTTTTGTTACGCCGAGGTCAAGCAGCCATATATGTATACATTCCCTTCATCGATTATGACAACAGTAATATCCCCCTGGTTGCAACCCATACAACCAACCGTTCAACAGCGTGACACACCCTGTTCGACTAGCATATTATTTCAAAACACACCATCTCATTCGCATATGTTTTGACAACAGTGGGGAAAAGAGTTTCGGTGAGATGAAGTTTGCTTCCATCGTGTTATTTCCATCAGAGTGTCAATAAATTTACTACTGATTCGAGTGACCTTCCTTATCACTCCGAAAAGCAACGGGCAGTGTGTCGAGTCGATGTGTGTGATGCAGGCAGACAGTTGAAGAATTACCAGGGGGAAAGTAACAATAGCAACAATAAGCAAAATAGCAAACGATCGTGAGGTCCATTTGGTGATAAGGACGATTTTCTACCGCCGTAGTTGAGTTGTTGTTTGCCGAGCGGTTTGTAGGTTCAGTAAGGCGAAAATACTCATCGAGATCAGTGCACATCTCTCCCGGGAAGAGAAGGAACCACCACAGCTTTTCAGTGTCGAAAATGGTGTTATGTCATATCCGTGCGTCTCTGCGGCTTGGCCAGCTGATGAATGTTGCTTCAAAATCACATTACGGATACCAGTGGAGGTTTCTGAGCAGCAGCAGTTTGCTGTTGAAAGGTAATTCGGGAGGATTTTTAGTGCAAAGAAGAGTTTGTGCATTGTACCGGTATGATATAAGGCAGTGTTAGTCAAAAGTAGGGTTAGCAGAAGGAAGATAAAAACAAAAACAAACGTATGAACTTGTCGCAGAGAGCAGCGCAACAAAACGGATGATGCATTGCGATAAGCATATGGATACAACACAAATGTCGTAGCGGGTGAATAATGTTGCGCACTTGGACACGTGTTGGCATGCATTAACGGAACTAAGGCTCTGAACCATTTGGTGGATTATTTTAACTTTAGGTTAAAATTTGACAGATGGAAAGTTATCGATTAACCCTGCTATCCGAGCGTGGTTATTTCTGACAGACAAGAAGTTAAATGTTGACAACCGTGGCTGAGTTCTTCTCGGAAACCGGTCGATGCACAGCACAGGGATTTTCGAACATCAAGAATAACTTTCGAAATGTCACTTTTAACCACGAGTTAAATTTAACTCAGCAAATGGTTCACAGCCTAAGTAGATATGATGGCAATGTTGTGAGCTGTACTGAGGTTTAAGATATTTATATATAATAGTTCATAAAGCTTATAAACCCCATATTAGCTTTAAATACCAATAAGGCAAATCAGAGGGCTGTATTGTAAAACTAGTTGCATTGTTTTCCATATATCTTGGAATTTAATCGATTTGAAAAAAAAAACTAACTAAACTGATACTGTTCCGTGGAGAATAAAAAAAATATATTGGTGTCGCAATCAAAAAACCTGAATTAATCCACCAGTGGTGTGATCTGACCCTTCGTATTTCTGTAGATTCTGATATTCTCCTTAAAAATTACCCCGAGAGCACCACCCTAATGTACCAATAACGAACCGTAACTAAAATGGTTTAACCTCTTGGAGGCGAACCAGCCCCAGGCTGAAAACCTCCCTAATAAAGATAAATCAATCAATCAAATGGTTTAACCATATCACACATAGTTCGGAAGATGGAGCAGGTAAGAGATGAACTAGCCTCAGGCTAAAAATCTCTATAATAAAGAAAAAAAAAAAAAAAAAAAAAAAAGATGGAGCAGGGGCAGGATTCCAACTAAAAGTGGGCTATTTGGTCCAAGGCACACAAAATTACCACCATTGATATCGTTATTAAATTTTTAAGTACTTTGATGCATCACATGGTGAGTTTTAATTCAAAACTGGTCTGGTTAATTCTCCGGGGGCATCTGCGACATGCCCGGAACTGACCAATGTGGTCTGCGGCGCAGGAAACGGACACAATTGATTTGGTTATCAAAGTTTGATGTAATTTGTTTTGTAGCATGAAAAGTTTTATTCCTTAGTGTTCAAATTTAGTATTATGGCTTACATACCCCGGAACATGTTCCTGTCACATTTTCACCACCAGTTGACCGATTCTGAACCTGTTCAATAATGTTCCATGGGCAAGGCTATGGGATCATGATGCTTTTCATTTGGTGGTTGTTGCGTGCAATTTGCATTAGTGGTTACCGAGAAATTCTACATAGTTCCCAAAATCCAAACTTGTCACACCATTTCCGGAAATATAATAGTTGAACGCTTCTAAATTTGTTCTACAGCATTCAATATGATCATAATAAATTTTATTTGCTGGCTGTATCGTTTAATTCGGTTATTTGATTGCCGACAAATACCACTTAGCTCCCGAATTCCGTGATTTTCGGGTCTTGTTCCGTTCATATCTCCGGAATCAATAATCGACTGGAAATCTATTGATTAACATTCTATAGAATCATGGTATCTTTCATTTGGTGGTTGTGGCGGTGAATTTGGTAGAAATACGTTAAAGAAAATTGTGTTGTGTGCTCTCACACACACATACACAGACAGACATTTTCCGATCCCGTCAAGCTGAGTCTATTGGAAGACTATTAGAAAAGATATCAAAGTTTTTAACGGCGCCGGTGGTGTAGTGGTAAGCGTGATTACCTCTCACCCCAGCAGGCCTGGGTTCAATCCCAGTCGGCGCCACCGGGATGTTCGTGTTCGTTGGTCCCCGGTTCATGAGTTGATGGGTCGATAGGTAGGGTCCAGGTGTGGGAGCTGCCTTCGTGGCACGTCGGTAGCATTGGTGCTCAGAACGGAAAACAAGATCGACGGAAAAAAACAAACCAAAGGAAAAAAAAAATCATAGTTTTTATAAAAAAAAAATAAAAACTCTGATTCACGTTTCTTAAAAAGAGTTATTTAAAAATAAGACCGACTGTAAATTTACTCCACTATTATTCGATTTGACAGAACCAGAGTACCAGAATTTTCGGGGTACATTGACATTACACTGGAGCTCCCAGGGTGGTCTGAAACTACTGAACCGATCGGCGTGAAAATTTGTATGCAGGGTTTTTGGGGCCGGGAATGGTTCGTATAATGGTTAGAGACCCCCCCCCCTGTAAGGGTGGGTTCCCATACAAATGAAACAGAAATATATAGCATGTTTTTTTGACCGGTGCATAAACTCAAGCTTATATTGAATCCCGAGCAAGGCCGGCACACTCAGCTAGTCAGTTTATAAAGATAAACTTCAGTAATGTTAGCAGGGTTGATAATGACAATTCTCATTGAAGACGTTAAAATACGACTACGTATTCAAGCGCATGCACATTAGTGTATAATAATAATCGAAAAGCAAAAAGGGTAGATGTAAGAATCCCATAAGCCAAAAGTACGTATGAATTTTAGCCACAAGAAATCGGTATGAATTTCATTAATTTGCCTTATGAAAAATAATGTCGACAAAATAAAACGGAGCAGACCGAACCATTGACGCAATTACAAAAATTATGATGCACTAAAAAAATGTCATGCAATTTGACAGATGTCAATACGTCATTACCATTTTTATCCACTTGCCATCTGTGAGTCAATCGTCACTTTGATTCTTCAATAGGAGCTATCTCATGTTAGACGAAAATCCTTCATAGGACATTCTTATGAAATTCATATGTGTCGATAACAAGTTGAGCCTTCTGAAACTCTTAAGGTGAATCGCTGTGACATCCTTATTCTCGGAACCACTTCGAAACTTTAAGTGCACAAATATCAGCTTCTACGACACGTGCCACATTCAAATTGTTACTCCACGTTTGCTGAACTACAGCATACATGAAGTAGCAATTTCTAATGAAATGGAGCACTGATTTCCGATATTTGTGTAAATAAAAATTCGAAGTGCATGTGCATGTATAGCCTACGTGGCGGCCATTAGTGGATTCTACAAGGAATCACCTTAAATTTATTTGACTTAGTGCACCTTAATAGGAACGTATAGGACCAGACAACCAGACATAACACTCACCATCCCATTCTTTGCAAATAAGGGTTAAGTTGGGAATGTGCTTGCATTTGTCATGGTGGCGCCACTGAAGCGTTAAGCAAGGCACTACATACCAAGCTTATCAGTGATGCCAGTTCTTTTTCAGGTTAATTTAATATAGGTCTGCTCTTGATAATGATAAGGGGACCAAGGGATCCCACTGGAGACATATACAACAATGACCCGATTTTGCCAGCCCCTTTTTTGAAAATCTTTTCTAATGTTCTGCGCAGTGGCGTTTCCGTAACCTCAATCTACCTGTGCACCAACTCTCAAAACATAAACAATTAACAAAATATTGCTTGCAATGGATAGATATCGAGTAAACTAGAAGATTAAGTGTATTTTTCAACCGATTGGAGTATGAATATGGCATTAAATCTAGACTGACATTTGAAAAGGGCGGAACTCCAAAATTACCATATCGAGAAAATCGCTTCCGAATTTTGATGACCTAAAAATTAATCCTATTTCACGACTTTCCATTTTCTGGATGATTTTATAAGCTTGACATATAGTTAATAGTGTAATCTATCATCATGCATCACTTGAAACTCAAAAAAAGTTTTCTTTGTCGTGAAATTGAGAAGAAAACATCATACGCCCTGATAATTTATTACATGTTGTTACCCCCAGATCTTCCATCCTTTGAACTGCCAACACTGGTGATACGCCGTGGAAGTCGAGGGGGACGACTCTATCTACGATGCAGAAAAGATTGTGTTTTGCTGTGGCTAGCTGTGCGCACGCTGAGTAGACAGAAAAAAGATTGATGACGATTCTGAAGATTTCCTGCAAAAAGATGATGCACGATGCAAGTAGATGCGCCAAATGAAAGAAGATTTTTCGAAGATTGATTCGCTAGTGTGAGATTTGTTGAGCATCTAAACTTGAGATTTAGATGTGTCGCCCCCCTCGGTGGAAGTACACCATCGGGATTTTTTGTTTATTGTTCCGCCTTGGCTCTTCGTTCGCAAATTTTGTGAGAGTGGAATTACGCCCGGAGATTTTTTGGTTTTCTTTTTGTTCGTTGTTTACACGTGAAATATCAATCGGATGCGTTTCAAATGAATCGGGCGTGACTAGATACTACAGAATCAATACGTTTGGCATATTAAAACAATATAATTCGTTGTTCTGGTGCAAGGTGTAACAACCAGTTGCATCATCGAGTTGAAAGTTGGAAATACGCCATATAAGAAGAAACGTTTTTGATGATATGAAGTGATATTTTCTTCTACTTTTTCGTGTTTATCGAGTAGTTTGTGAACTGTTCTCTCTATATGTGCCAAAATATGGTTTGTTTACATTTTGGCTCTTCCGCCCCTTTCAAATGTTAGTCTAGAAATCTGGTTTTGAAGGTGTGCACAGGTAAAAAGTGAGGTTACGCGACGCCACTGTTTAAAACTATGGACACTTGAAAATTGGCAGAAACCGTCAAATTGTTGAATCATTATTTTTTTCTGGATTCCATGATACCTGTTTTTTTTTTTTGGTAATACTGTGAAGGCTCAAAATCTTGACACTCAGTCAATAAATCCGGACACTTTTAAATTTCGATCATCTCTATGGTGCTATGCTAAAAATATCACGAACATTTTAGCATAGTCTTTTAGTATCGTCCAGAATCGTCACACAATAGCTACGTGTTGCAAAGTAT